TACCAAATCGGTCGGGTTTCGGTCCTGGCTTGAAGCATTCGGATGTCTAGTCATACTGAGGAGCTGCGAAACAGTATTGTCTGCGAATGATATATATATATGAGTGTGTGTTTTTCAGTTAGAAATACTTGCATCAATTCCTGAGAACCCAAATCCTTTTACATTATATTCAATGCCCGACACAGAGGCTCAATGCCGAAATTTGCTAAAACAAATTTTACAGTCAAAATTTTCAGTAAAAAATAGCAAAATTCATAGTTTAATCATCTTATTCCTTCTTTCTTTCATTTTTTCCTATCATTAGAGATGTGCTTAGCTAAGTTTCTTGGCTCCTATACGGATAAGCGACGTAAACACGGTACCTACAAAAATCGAAACATTTCCTCCGTAGGTGTATAATACAATTAGCATTAAACCAAAATCGCCATCTTTTAAAATTTTCATTTTCCCCCCTCCCGTCAGTATTTTGTGTGTCACTATGGGGTTATGATTGTCTTTTTGAATTTCGACCGGCATTACCGGAAGAGATTAAAACTAGTCGATTTAACAACAGACGATGTTCCTATAGACAGTTACACAAACATTACATTTAATAAATCAAGAATTCCAAAAGGTTGCTACAAGGACGGCCCTTTTTTGCGGGTAGGGGGAATATTCACCTTGAAATGGCTATATGCCAAATTCCATATCTAAGAATTTAAGAATACCCATTGAAAGCTTATAATACCTCTTTGCAGAAATTTCAGAAAATATATCTCATCGGAATGAACCCGAGATAATTTGAGACGATAAGAATTCCAGTTCACAACCGCAACTCAGTCCAAGCAATTAATATTTCTCTGCGAGATCTGAAGATAATTGCATCAGACGTGCGTGTCAAAACAACACTAAATATAAGATAAGGATGAAATAAATATGAAGAAACGCTTCCGAAAGAATCAATGGTTTTTAATGGAATTAGTTTGTATAATAAGCAGAGCTTATAATTTACAGCTTTCCTTGTTCCAGAGTTCCAAATATAAGCAATTGTGTGCAGTTTTCCATCTTTGGAAAATCATCAATCGAATCTGGCACATTCCGCGCTCGTAAAATGATAACATTGAGACAGGCGACAACGTCACATTAAATTTCTTTGATCATTTTATATAAATTATACGTTTTTATCGCACGGCTTACAAAAACATTGATTGGTCAACTATTTTCATATGACCGGCCTTTTCTGTTATCTGGATTCAAGAATCATTCATTATTTAGCCGTCTAAACGACGTTCTCGGTGCCTCCATACACATTTCCTTTTGTATGTGAGAACGCACAGATGCAAGGAATGATAGATGAGATTAAGTATTTAGACGAAAGATGTTTAACCGGTGTCAAAACAGTAATTAAATCAATGAAAACTTATGATTAATCTTGTATTGAATTTAATGAGCAGAGCGACACAATTAGCAAATGTCCATTTTGATTAGCATCGTTGCGATTAGCACAGACAACAGAGTATTAGGGAAGTTGTGTCATGGAGGTAGTTCTTAAGTTAGGACATTTGTATGGATGAGCAACGTCAGCAAGGTAATGTTCCCCAAAATTGAAACATTTCATCAATTTACCGGCTTCTAAATACAGTTGGTATTAAACTATATTTTCTCCCTACTTCCAACACTATGGAATAAGAAGAGCCATTATAAACTTTGACAATCATTGCTGAATTAAATTTAAAAACTGTTTATCTTTTAGACCAGTAATTCTCAACCGGGAGCCATATGGAGCCTGGAGCGGGGTCCCATGGGGGTCCACATGCACAAAAAATTGCAATCTGAATGTCCACTGTAATATTTTAGTGGTCCATAGAGCAATTTCACTTCGGAACGGTTGTTACAACTGGGAATTGGATTTTTTACAGTAATCTACGCCATATTAAAATACTAAAAATAGAAAAACAACTCTAAAACGAGCAGAAAATGTGATCGAGCGGTGTAAGTTTTAGCGTCCCATTTACTCGACCGGATGTTTTGATTGTAAAAGTTGAATAAAAACTGAGAAGGATAGATAAAGGAAGTTTTACATATATAAAGGAAAATTATATAAAGATTTTAATTTATTATATAAATGAATTTAATATAATAATAACAATATTAATTTTAACGATTAATAAAATAAAATATTAACGTGTTAGTATAAATTAATTAAATTACTTTGAATATACGCTTTTTAGCGCTAGAGGGCGTTGTCAGTGATGTTCCGAATTGGGTCATTGGGTAGTTTCGGGTCTTTCAAACATCATACTCCCCCTCACCAAATCGACCCCATCAGAGCTGATCAGTCTCTGAAGCCCCCCCTCCAACCATCCAAATTAACAGCCTGCAGATACTGACTTATATTAGGCAAACCCTATCCCTCTGTCACGCATTTGATTGGAAGTTGACCAACAGTCAATCGCAATGGTGCGAGCTCTAGTTAAGTTGTTTACGTGGATACTCGTCGGTTACTCGGAAGCTAATTATGTGTTTTCCGGTTCTTTTTTTACTTTTTTTTCAAGTTTCATTTCCCCAGCTGATAATTACTGTTACTAAAGAAAATAAATAAATAAATAAAACAATAAAATAAAATAAGAAACAAAAAAGATGCAACCTTAAAATAATCAGAAATTTATATTGTTTTTACGATTAAAATAAATAAATTACAACTTAATTACTATAGTAATAGACACGAAATTGTGAAAAGGATGGATCTTCGACTATCATTGACAATGACGGAGCCAAATATATAAAAATGAGCTACAACAAACAGGGATCTCATTGAATAAATCGGCACTTTTTAAAAATATAATATTTACTCACATTTCAAAATGGTTTATATTATGAGTTATTTTATTAGTGTACATAAATGTTTCATATAATTTACTTGTTAAATACGAGTTTACTTTCATTAAATTAGTTTCACATCAAAATAAAAAATATACATTTACTATTTCTATAATACAATTTTTAAACATATTTATTAGTAAAAAATGAAATAAGCTTTTCTTCATCAGATGATTATACGGGTCCACCAAAAAAAAAAAAAAAAAAAAAATTAGTGTAAATGTTGTCCATGGGTAAAAAAAAAGTTTGAGTGCCGCTACTTTAGACAGTAATCAAGTATTTACACTCTTGGTATCATATCCTTAAGGTATTGCAAATTTTGACTGTCTTTCAGCGCCAACTCCCAAAGCAAAAAGGCGAACGCTTCGTCTATTGTTTTCTCACTTTGTACCGTGAGTGATCATTGCTCTCCACAGCTTTCTTTCTTTTGTTGCACACGAAAATGCCCTCTTCTTAATGATCTCTGTTGTGCCTTTCTAAAACTTGTTCCGGCCTCCATTTGCTCAAACTCAAGTTTTCACTGCTTTTCTTGGCTTTAATGTGTTCTCCGAATGTTAAAAGGCTCTCTCCCATCGTGCCGTAACCTCAAAATGCCGACAGAGCTTCTTTAAAGTTCATTTCTTTCATCCACCGGGATAGATTGCTCTAGTTCCACGTGTCATGCCTCTCTCGGTTGTCTCAGTTATTTCCCTTTAACTCTCCAAGTTTTGGTTCGCCACTGATGTGGCGTGGTAGTGAACACACAACTCTCGTCCAGGGTTCGGTTCGAAATTCCAATCACCTGAAGAAGGCCGGAGCGTACAACGGCCGAAACGATGTGAATATGTTAATGAAGATGAGGATAACAGTCCGAATAATGTAAATTATGCAAATAAGCATATCTCATTCCAGAGATATAGACAGTTATCGGTTTATTTAAAATATCTTCTTCCCTGATATTTTTTAAATTTATATGGCAAATAATATATATAACGTTGTAATTTGGTTCACATGTTTAAAAAAAAAACTTATTATTGATTGTTTGATTTTTTACAGTTTATCAACCCTTTTGTAAATCTAAAATTATTCTTGTAAATAAACAATCAAATAAAATAAAAACTGTTTATTTCTTTTATTCTCGATAGAAATGAGAATATATAAATCCAGTTTCATATGTTTGGGTTTTAATACAATTCTAAAAATAGCTTTTTAAAACAATAAAATTTGGCGAGGAAGTCTACAGCGGTGTTAAGAGAAAATACGTCCTTTTGACAAACTGTTTTTTATTGTTTTTATTTAGCATATATGTATGCTAAACATTTCTAAAATAGCCTTGCATAACATTGGGGAATAGATTATGTCAAAGTATTACGCCAGTTAGCGAGACACGATACAGTCCATTGACAGCGACTGTAAGGAATCGTCACAGGAGATTGGCGGTTTTTTTAGCCCATCTCTCCGGTTGATTTAAGTTTCGCGAGAGGCGGCATAAAAATGATCGAAAATGGTGTCATGTTTTTGATAATTGGCCAAGTGAATTTCGTTAAAAAAGGAATTTCGTTTCGTATTTACGAAAAAAAAAAGAAGATATTTTTGTCGAAAAAGTGAAGAAAAATCTTATGAAGAAGTCGAACAAAGGCGAAGAGACGATAAAAGAAGAAGAGAGAATAAAAACAAAGAGAAAGGAAAAGGGAGGGAAGCACTAAAATCTTCAGCAAAATCGAGAGAAAAGAAGAAGAAGAAAAGAGAGAGTAGTTAAAAGGCTAGAAAGATTAAATGACAGAGAAAACAGTAAAGAAAGTGATGATAAGACGAAGAAAATGAGAAAGACAGAATAGAAGAAAGAAAAAGGAGAGAAAGAAAATGATCTGGAAAAAGAAAGAAAGAAAGAAAATGAATGGGAAAAAGAAATAAAGAAAAAAGGAAGAAAATGAATGGGAAAAAGAAAGAAAGAAAGAAAGAAAATGAATGGGAAAAAGAAAGAAAGAAAAAAAGGAAGAAAATGAATGGGAAAAAGAAAGAAAGAAAGAAAGAAAGAAGAAAGAAAATGAACGGGAAAAAGAAAAAAAGAAAGAATGAAAAAAGAAAATGAATGGGAAAAAGAAAGAAAGAAAGAAACAATAGATGAAAGAAAGTGAATCGGAAAAAAGAAAGAAAATGATTCAGAAAAAAAAAGAAAATGATTCAGAAAAAGAAAGAAAGAAAGAAAAGAGGAAAGATAGTGAATCGGAAAAAGAAAGAAAGAAAGAAAATGAATCGGAAAAAGACAGAAAGAAAGAAAGAAAGAAAGAAAGAAAGAAAGAAAGAAAGGAGTTAAGAAAGTGAATCGGAAAAAGAAAGAAAGAAAATGAATCGGAAAAAAAAGAAAGAAAAAAAGAAGGAAAGAAAAAAGAAAGAAAGAAAGAAAGAAAGAAAGGAGTTAAGAAAGTGAATCGGAAAAAGACAGACAGAAAGAAAGAAAGAAAGAAAGAAAGAAAGAAAGAAAGAAAGAAAGAAAGAAAGGAGGAAAAAAGTGAATTGGAGAAACAAAGAAAAAAAAATGAATCGGAAAATGAAAGAAAAAAAGAAAGAAAGAAAGTGAATCGGAAAAAGAAAGAAACAAAATGATTCAGAAAAAGAACGAAAGGAAACAAATAAAATAAATTTAAGAGAAGGTAAAAGAAAAGAAAGAAGCTAGATTGGAAGATTCTTCTTCTTCTTCTTCTTCTTCTTCCTCTTCTTCTTCTTCTTCTTCTTTACTTTACTTTCCTTTTATTTTTCTCCCACCTTTCAACATTCTTCTTATGTTCTTTTTTCATTTCTTTCTCTTCATTTTATTTTCTTCTTTCCCGCTTTTATTTCTTCTTCATTTCGCATCTTCATCCTTTTCTTCTTCTTCTTCCTTAAATTTTTTATCTTCTCTCTTCCCCACTCTTTCGTCTTTTTTATCTTTTCTTCTCGTTCCTTTTCTCTTTCCTTCACACCACCCCTCCCTCATATTATCCGACTTTTCTCTTTCATCAAAGATTCCTCTCACTAATTTCCCCTAGTTTATCTCCTTCCCTCCGTCTCCCTCCTTCTCGCCCCTGTCTCAGCTTCCACTCCCAAACACCACCCTACCCAACTTCATAATTCCTTCTTCTCCGGCCCTTTCTCATGGAAAAGTGCAAATGAAGCATGAAACGATCTGTAAATAGCAGGATTTGCGGATACCGAGACTGAGGCAACCCCAACGTTTAGGCTGATTGCCATTACCGAACGATGTGTGTCACCAAGTACACGACCACTAATTTGGGCCTCGTCTGCTGTAGTAAAGACTGACTAGGAGAACAGGATTAGCCGTGTCATGGGGTACCCAACCGTATTTTTTAGTTAAAGGTACCATGAGCTATTCGATTACTGGGTTTGGATTCCTAAGCAAAAAATAGAAAATCCAACCAAATGCTCTACATTCAGACAATCTTGATTATAATGACAGCAGTAATGATGGAATCAACCTTTTACATACAGGAAATATTCCACATTCATTAACTGAAATGACGTTTAAAATTTATAAAATATATTATTAATTTTTTTTCCGTAAATTAAATTTCTCAAGTACAGCGTTCTCGCTCTTTCTAATATTAATGGAGGTTTCCTTTCTAGCTTTTTTGTTAAGGTAGTGTTGAACATCTTGATTATATCATTATTTTCTTTCCTTGTTACATGTGCTACACGATACGGTTGCTGTTGGAAATGTGAGGCGGTGAGATAGATAGAAAGAAAGAAAGAATGAAAGAAAGAAAGAAAGAAAGAAAGAAAGAAAGAAAGAAAGAAAGAAAGAAATAGACTAGGTTAGTTAACGCAGATAGATAGATAGATCGATAGATAGATATGAATAGACTGAGAGCGTTAACACAGATAGATAGATAGATAGATAGATAGATAGATAGATAGATAGATAGATATGAAGAGACTGAGATAGATATGAACAAACTGAGATACATAGATAGATAGAAATATAGATAGAAAGAAAGAAATAGACTAGGTTAGTTAACGCAGATAGATTGATAGATAGATAGAATGAACAAATTGAGATAGATAGATAGATAGATAGATAGAAAGAAAGAAAGAAAGAGACTAGGCTAGTTAACGCAGATATATAGCTAGCTAGCTAGATAGATAGATAGAATGAACAAATTGAGATAGATAGATAGATTTGATTGCAATAATAAGGTAGTAGGAGAATAAAGTCATCATTGGTAAATAAGAAATCATAATAATAATGGTATTGTTAAAATGCTGAGTTATTTTCCTCCCTTCAACCCCTTTCCTACTACATTCCTTCGTCCTACCAGTTTTGACCTTCACGGCTAAGACCCGCCATGCCACTCACATTCTAGCGAACCATCCTCATTCATTCATTTTGCTTGTCTCAAACATTTTTTGGGGAAATTCTTCCGCTTTCTCTGCCATATAGGAGGTCTGATATTATATAATATCCAATAATCTTTTCTTCTTCGTTTTTAAAGTTATTAGTCCTTTAGTACCCTGGTTTCTGAAAATTGATTTTCGCTATTTCTTTATGCCTTCATAATTCCTACGTTAAACTTTCCGTCACCTGTTATTACACTGTCCTGTTAGTTGAATTTCTGAAAGTGTAAAATTTTGACATCCCCATTTTGTAACTGATAGAGCTGCCCCTTTTGCTTACAGCCGTGCATTCCATCTTATAATTAATAGTATTTTCTTCTAACTTTTCTCGATTGATTTTCTTATTCATTATATCAGTTTTCCTTTTCGATCTGCCAACAGTATAACGCTATCTACGTAGCTTCATCTTCTATGTGCCAGGTCCCTTCAGGACGTTGGCAATCATAGTTTTCAATAGTGTCATGTCATTTGCAGAATTTTGTCTTTTTTTTAAAACTCTGTTCTGCCAACAATTTGCACAAGCTTAGGTAGGATATGCGCTGTTTTCCTCTGACCTTCTCGTCTGAAATATATCCTGTGAGTGTCAAATTTTCGAAGCCCTCTTTCCACATTATGTGACCTAGAAAATTCAGTTGTCTTTTTTTGATGTTAATTGTCCTTTTTGTTACCATTTTCTCTAAAAAGCCTCTTCGTTGCTCACATGATCAGTCCATTGTATCCTCAGTATCCTTCTGTAGAACGAGATTTCTGTTGCTTCAAGTCTCTTCTTCACCTGTGAGGAGGTTGTCCAGCATTCACTGCCATATACAGCGTGCGATAGGTAAATTGTCGTCATTTTATATTTTTAATTTTGCGCATGCGCGTTGTTTGGTTTTTGATTTTGTCGATGCACAGTAAAGTAGGGTCAGTTGGGCACCTTCTATGAGAAAAACAGCACCATGACAGAATTAACTCCGCCAGGAATTTAGAAACGACATGCTATACTGCTTGGCATTCGCGCTGGAAACTCCAATACGAAAATTTCAGAGTGATTGGATGTCAATCTGAGAAAAGTGCAGAGGATTCGGAAAGAGTTGGATGAGTCTAATGGTGATTTTGAAGGTACGGCAGCTCGGAAAACTCACTCTGGTCGTTCTGATAAGAAAAGAAGTCCTGAATTTGTTGGTGAGGGCGTCAGACTCAACATGGAAGCCTAGGAGGCACTGCTGTCCTGGGTCAAGAGGGTGGCTGCTGGAAGACACTATGTCTGGCAACATGACTCTGCACCATGCCACACTAGTAGCAGAATCCAGTCATGGCTGTCAGACAATTTCTGTGACCACATCGCCCTTTACACCTGACCATCTAACTCCTCAGACTGCAACGTCATTTTTAGTAAATATATCTGTAAGCGTTATTTTCGTTTTTGCGTAATTTTGACGACAATTTATCCATCGCACCCTGTGGAAAGCCCGATATTCTATAGAAGTTCAGCACTCATTTTTTTTTGTTTTTGTTTTTTTTTTTTTTTTTTTTTTGTTTTTTTGTTTCTAATGAGATTTTCCTGTTCTTAATACTTTGCTTAGCTTCCAGAAAACATCTTTTGCTATTCCAATGCGCCTTCGGATTTCAGTGTCAAACTTTCCGTCCTATGTTAAAACACCTCCCAGAAGTTAAAATGTTTGTACTTGCTTGATTTTGTTATCCCCAATTTGTAATTCTCATGTTGGGTGTGTCCCTTTTGCTGACAACCATGGATACCATGATTAATCCTTTTTTTTTCTCGATTTCAGTTAATTTCTTTTTTGGGTTATTCTTTTATTATTTTCGACATTAATGACGTTGATATTTTATAGCCTACATACGAGTTTCTCATTGATTTTGTTAACTTTATCTTTAGACTTTAATATTACTTTTAGTAGTTTACTATTTCCGGGGACATTCTTTATGGCTACGCTGTTTTCTATTCGCGTACACACCTCTTTTTATGATGAATTAAATTTTGGTTCTTCGTGGCTCTCCCTAACGTCCTGTTCTTCGTAGACCGTAGTAAAGTTTGTGCATTTTCTATATCTCATAATCCCTGTTCTGCCAACCATTTATTCAGCTAGGCTTTAGGTAGGCTGTACACTTCTCTGACCCGCTTCCATGCATTATGTCCTGTGAGCATCAAATTTTCTAAGCCCTCTTTTCTCATTATGTGCTCGAGAAATGTGAACTCTTTTTGATGCTATTTATAAGTGTTTGATTTCGCTTTTCTATAAAACTTCGTTGTTGCCCGCGTTTTCTGTCCATGGTATTCTCAGCATCCTTCTGTAGAACCACAATTCTGTTGTCTCAACGTTCTTCTCCGTTTATCAAGTGTCGGTTCAATATTCACTGCCATATAAGAGGTTTGATATTACATAACATTTAAGTTCTCTTTTCTTTGTTTCTAACGAAATTTTCATGTTTCTTAATGCTTTGTTTAGCTTTTAGAAAGCATCTTCTGTTATCCCAACGCAACTTCGAATTTCAGTATCGCATTTTTGTTTTCATCCTCTGTTAAAACTCCTCGCAGATATTAAAATATTTGTACTTACTTGATTTTGGTATCCCCAATGTGTAATTTGCATGTTGGGCTCTTCCTTTGTTTTTGACAACCATGCATTATCTCTTTTTTCAATTGATGCTTAGTTCTTTCTTCTTGCTTTCAGATGTTGTTAAATTTACGCATTTTACAGGTAAAATGTAGGATAATGTTCATAATAATATAAACCTTATAAAGAAATTATGTAATCAGATATAATACACTTGTTTTCCGACTCTAATATAAAAAAAAACGAATATTATTTTAATAGTACCGACGATAGGCTGCTTAACTCTAATTTTTTCCCTTTTCATATTTCGATAAAGTTTTCGTTTCTATTCTGTTTCTTGCTTTTTTTAGTACAAGTTCAAAAAAACATAAACCGAAGTGCCTTTTAAACACAAATAATTTTCAACTGTGAATCTCAGCTTTATTTCCATGAAAAGATTTTAGCAGCCAGTGTCGAATTTCACATTAATTTTATGTTTTAATAAATTTTGGAAAACTAATCTTATTACAGTGTGTTCTACAAAAAACAGGAAATTTGGTACAGTTTATTTTATTGTTGGAATTTTTATTACAGTTTTTTTTTCGAAACAAAAGCAAAGGATAGAAATCTAGTAGCTTAAAACAGAAAAAGTACATAAGTATTAGATGTGGTGTTAAAATAAAAAAATCTATGGCAAACTTCTTGGCATTTTTTCTGTCCCCAAATTGGATGTTCTTTCTTAAAGAGAACAATCACCTCGCGTTGAAAATTTGATAACTACAACATCCTGGAACAACGAACTGTTAAAAATTTATATGTTAGTTAAATTTTTTACTTCATTCATATAATAAAATATATAGTTAATTGTTTTATATAGTAGTTAATTTTTTCATTACATAGTAAATCTAAAATATCCTGCTTTTTGTGGGGTACCCTGTATTATAAACGATATTTTTAGTGGGTACACGTATTTAAGTTGGAATCCCTGTTTTTCATTGTATTAAACAGTAAAATTAACATCTACCGGCCTAGATCGAGAAGTCCTCTAAAGAAAAATGTGTTTTTCGGTTTGGTTTGATTTGGTTTGTTTTACGGTATAGCGACCCCAATGAGTTATTTAATGCAGACAAGATTTTTATTTCTGGTAATATTTTTTTCCACAAAAGTGTATTGCTGGTAATAATTTTTCCAAAAAAATATTGCTGGTATTAAAATCTATTTTTATACTTTCATAGTGTTTTGACCCATTTTTGGGGGGTGGGGCGGAAACCACATGTCCACAGCTGGCACCCTGACAGGTGCCACCACCCAGGGACCCAGACACAAGCAATCAAGAAGCTCCTCAACCCCCTCCCCAATCAAAGGCCTCGCTGCCGGATGTAGTTCATTTTCTCACTCAGGACGCGGATGTAGTTCATTTTCTTACTCTTTTTTTCCCATGTCGACAATATAGTTAAATTCCCAGATCAATTCTGTGGACAAGACAAGAAAAAAAATTCCTTACTATAAAAGTAATTTACATTAACCAGAAAAAAAGGCTTAGACAAAAGCGTCTGTCTTTTTAAATTTGGATTTTTTAATGTAACTATAACAACAAAAACATTTCAATTTCATTTTTGCCTTGAAAAAGTCGGGAGATGAAACACGTCGGCAAAAAAAGATTTTTTCCAATTGTCATTTTATACTAATCTGTCTTGTCCACAGAATTGATCTGGGAATTTAACTATCTCATTGTATCTTTAGAATAATGGAGTAAGTGATATTGTAATAATTCCATTTGGTACAACGGCAGATACAGTGAAAATCCACTTTGGATGTTTCCAATCAACATGTAAGTATTTAAAATCCTCTCATAGCATTTTAACAAACTAGAGATACATGACAAGCAGTTTCTCACCCCCACAAAAGTATGACATCGAGTTTATTTATGGTAACAGAAGGCTATGTTCTCTTTAGGAAATATTCTCTTTTTGAAATTTCTTTGATTGTCTGATTGTCTCAAAACGCGAAAATATCACGTGGTGTGTCTAGATGTTTTTATGTTTCAAATAACTTAAAAAAATCTTTTGAAAGAAAACTTCTGAATTGAGTTGTTTTGAATTTATAGTCAGAATTCTGAATTGAAACTATTTAATTTAAAAAAACATTTAAGTTTAAATAACCTTGTGTTAACCAGCTGTTTTTTAGGGTAAGTTATTAACAAAGCTTATTTCCTTTCAAAGGCAGAACAAAAAGATTTTTTTTTAAATTTTAGCAATAGAATTTTACGTAGTTGTCCTTGATCTG